TTTTGATTTCCCCGTTATAGAACATAGTTTATCAAATGTATTAGAACAAAAGGAATTTATTGTTTAAATTGTATTTATCTGGATCGAGCTATATCTTGCTCCCAAATGCTCGTAGGTTGTTACGGCTTTATTAATGAATATAATTAACGTTCTAATTGACGTTAAAATTAATATGATTAATATAATAATTCTTAATAAGTTAGTCGAACTAATTGTCGGCTTCAAGTTATTGAATATGTAGTAGTATGGCATCTCAGGCCTCTGTAATGAATAGTATTATTATTAATAATAGAATTTCAGGAATTAACCATGAAATATTATAAAATGAATAATTTTAATTGATTTTCATAACTGTAATATCTTAATCTACTGTGATAAATATATCTGAATATAATAATAATAATATAGAATATTAAACTTTTGTGTACTTTATACATTTGTGTTCTTATAAATTAAATATGTGTTTAAATTAAGAGGATAGGCTCTAATATTATGGAGAGCTCTTGTTTTCTTGGTTGCGTCGTGGCGCTGGCTCCTCCTCTGTCTTTTTCCTGGACTTCGGTGTCTCCGGGTTGTCCTTATTGTCGACAAGTTGTCGTCTTTCGTTAGGCGTCTGTGAATTATCAGTTATTTGTTACAAATTGAGACGAACGCATTCGACCTCATTGAAAATGAGTGGCGGTTGCAAGGTTAGGTTAGGTTCCCTCGTGTGTGGGAGGCCTTGTCGTGGCACAGGGGCTCACCCTGGAACCCTCGAGGACCAGGGTGCTAACATCCCACAGTACGGAGTCCCTCGTTAGATAGAGGGACTCTGTACGACCGGGTCCGTCACCCCAAGTGAGGTGGGGCCTCACTCTCCGAAAGTGGGGCCCCTGGTGGGCGTGTCCTGTCAAGGACATGCCCACACTGTGCAGGTAGGGGATGGCGACCCTGAGTGCAAACGCCCGGTGAACTGGCACCGTAAGGGGGAGGTCTGCTCCCCTCCAGGATGGAAAGTGGTGGACGCTCCACCATGGCCTCCGGGCCCGCGTGGGGCCTTCCCCGTCCCTCTTAGGGGGGATGGGGTGGTTCCCTCACGGTACCGGAGCCAAAGGATGCGACGCGATATATTATATTATCGCAGGCGGGGCCTGGTATACCAGTTTAGCCCCAAGCCGACAAAGGAAGGATCCATGGATGGGGGAAACCCCATTGCACCCATGGATCAACTGTCAGGCTTGCTCCCGTGGACCGTGGTTTTTCATAAACGACGGTCCATTGTACACGGGGCGTCTCTGACAGGGTGCGGCTTTTTCGCTGTCCCCTGGTGTCGTCTTAGACGGGCGGGGGGCAGCGATAGGTCGTAGGAAGGGGTGTTCGTCGTTGCGGATGAACACTCCCTTCGGAGATAACAACTAGGAAGTAGGAGTAATATCTTTGGGGAGCGCAGAACCCCCAAAACATGGAAGATCCTTGAAGGAAGCGGGTGCCCGCCCGCCTGGCGTTAAGCGTTCCGCTTAACCGCGGGCGGTGCTACAGCGCGTAGGGGATGGGGGTCGGTCCGCGCGGCGATAAGCGTTCCGCCGCGCGGGCCGGCCCTCGTCAGGGGGGGAGACGGAGATCATATAGTAACTGATCATAATGATTTCTCAAGTGAAGATTCTGTCTCGAAATAGAATTAGACGGGATGTCTCGACAGTTAGGTTATACACCGAAGCGGTCGCGGCATCCTGGACCCATGTGTCGTTCACCGGGGGACTGGGGGGGCTGGCCGCTGGGGCCTTATCCGCCCCGCGCAGCGGAGAACGCTATTCGGAGGTCACCCTCGGCTAGCCGCGCCTCTCTCGATCGTGGGACGACATAGGAGTGGAGGAAAGATTGAAGGAGCCCGATCCCCCGTGATGGCGTCCATTCCGAAACGGGGAATCGGGAGTGGTTATAGCTAAACAGAGAGAGCAAAATCTCTCTGTGAGACGTTGCCGGTCGCCATGGCGGGGAGGGTGCGGAGGGGGCGCCGCGTCCGTTACCCAAGCTGTCCATGAGGCCACCCGGGTGGCGCCACCCACAGCGGTGCCCCTGGTATCGGAGCCGGGGGACCCCCGAAAGCAGATGGTATCGCAACACAACCCTCTGTGTGTAAGGGGCTGGAACCCAGAGCCCCTGATGAAAAATCCCAGGGGCCGGAGGTATGCGCCTTCTCCCCGTGGGAACTCGGGGCGTCGTACCGGGAAACTGGACGATGGGGGTACACCCTGGAAGGTATAGCCGCCGTGGGGAGTGGTATATTTCAAAAATGAGTTGCAACAAAAATAAACTGAAAGAAGGACATGAAGGGGAGAGAGATGATAGACAGGCAATTATGACAGGAGGGACAGAGGGACCCATGGACGTGGAGACCGCTACATCAAGTGGGCCCCCGAGGAGTCAGGAGGAAAAACACTCTCTGAAAAGAAGTGAGATAGGAAAATCGTCCTTCTTCAAAAGACCAACACCGAGGACAAGGAGTCAGAGTAGCTCTACTGGAAGGGCTGCCCCTATAGATATAGATATAATTTCCTCAGAAGATGAAGCCTCAGATAGGACATTATCACGATTTGAAAGTATGATGTCAGTAGGGTCGGAAGGTAGTGGGGACTCACCCCCAAAGAAGAGATCTATTATTTCTGGCCCTAGGAGAAAAAGATCGGGATCCACGGATCAAGAAAGATACTTAAGTAGAAAGGCGATTTCTGAGAAAGAAAAAGAAGACCTCAAAGAGGAATTGAGAATAAAAAGGGAACTCCACATCAGAGATCTGGACGTGGAAAAACTATTTAAGAGAGGGAAAATTAACATCGCAAGGGTTAAAGAAAATGTGGAGGAACTCTCTGGTGAACAACTAATGGAAACAGTCACTGAACAGATGACAGAAGTAGTAAGAGTGGCGATGTCCTCTTCCAATCTGAAAGGGGTGTTCCAAAAGTCCCTGAAACTAGCGGCAGCCAAATCGTTAGGTTGTATGCAAGTGATAATAGAGAGAACGGGTCAAACCGATAGTGAAAATTACCTGAAAGAAATTAGATCTCTCAGGAAAGAGAAGGACCACCTCAAGAAAAAGATGGAGGATGAAGTAGAGGAGGCGAGAAGGGCCCTACAAATAGAAGGACAGGCACAGGCATACCTAAAAGAAATTAACGAGCTAAAAAAAAAGATGGCTCAAAATAAAAAGAAAATGCCAAGTCCAAAGACCGAAAAAATGCAAATAGAAGGAATCACGGAGAACACCCAGGAATCTCCCAAAAAGGCAGCTAGGAAAATAGCGGAAAGTAGAATACAGGAGGGTAGGGCAATCTCTACAGATTCAGAAACAGAGAAAAACAGGGCGCTGGACCCCCCAGATAAATGGCCAGAGGTCAGGCGACCAGCGATAGGAGGTAAAAGAAAAGTATTAGAAGAAAATCCAGAAATGCAAGAAGCAATATACAAGGAATACCTAGTAGAGAAGGAGAAAAGAGTAACTTCCCACAAAGGGAAGGAAAAAAGGGAAAAAGGAAGCACTGCACCGATCTCCCGATCAAATGCTACTTCAGGTTCCTTGGCAGAAGTGATCGGAGAAATAGTCTCTAGAGAATTAGATAAGAGACTAGGAGTACAATCGATGAAGAGCAGCGAAAAAGTGGCAGATTCCATAACCGCCTAAAAAGGAAAGTAAGACAACCACATCAACGACAGGAAAGCCACGCATCATATCGGTTATAGAGCCAGAATCGAGAATAGAGGTGCGACGGATCAAAGAAACAGACAAGTCAATCAAGGAAGAAACCTGGTCCAGTGTAATTGGTCGCCGGGAAAAACAGAAAAACAAAGAAGATAAAGGAAAGGTAGAGGATAGAAGTCGAACTGAAAGGAAGAGAATAACTGCTCAAGTTAATAGAAGGACACCTCGTACAGCGGCAATACAGATTAGCTGCCGACAAGGAACGCAATATGCGGACGTTCTCAAAGAGGCAAAGGAAAAGATTGATATTGACCAATTAGGAATACCAGAACTCCGACCCAAAAGAGCACGAACTGGGGCGTTGCTATTAGAAATACCAGGAAAAGATGGAACAATCAAGGCCAATGAACTCGCTGGCAAACTGAAGGAGGTGCTGCAAAATAATAACAATGTCCTGATAACAAGGCCAGAAAAAATGGCAGATATCCGTATTAGGGATTTAGTAGAATCAACCGCAAGAATGGAGGTAATCAATAGATTCGCGGAAATAGGAGAATGCGATATAAATAGCATAAGAATGGGGGAAATATCCCAGTCGCTGATCGTTTGGGCTCATCAATAATAAGATGTCCCCTCACAGCAGCTAAACTGATTACAAAGACGGCAAGAACAAGGATAGGGTGGACCTCTGTTAGAGTGGACCTTCTACCAGAAAGACCCTCGCAATGCTATAGATGCTTAGAAACAGGACATGTACGCGCCCAGTGTAGAAGCGACATAGATCGCGAATCATTATGCTACCGGTGCGGTGGAGTAGGGCACGCGGCTAGAAGCTGTACAAATCCGGTAAATTGCGCGGTATGCTCTAGCAAAGGAAGGAGAGCGGACCACAGATTGGGAGGTCCGGCACAAACTAAGGATCGAAAAAGGAACACCAGCACGTCTCGGTGGAACAAACGAAGGCAATCGTATCACTTCTACGCCAGACAACATGGAGGTGGATCCTACAATACCAGGACCCTCAAAGGAGTCCCTCAAGCTAGGAATATAAGAGAGGGCAGTGTAGCCAGACAAATGGCTAAATGTAGCTTAAATATGCCAGCAATAGCTAAAATGGTAGAGGTTGCATCGTCGTCTCCAATGGAGGTTGACATTACTACAATGGATGATACCTTGCCAATGGAATGGCCCGTTGATGGAGAGGCGTGGATGCAGGAACCAGAACAAACAAGGAAGACAGATTCTACAAAGGAAAATGCACAATAAACTCCTTCAAATTAATATTAACCACGCGAGGGATGGACACGACCTTATGCTCCAACGTATGGCAGAGGGTGACTTTGCGGTCGCAATCGTCTCGGAGCCATATGCCATACCGAGGGATCATCCTCTGTGGTACGCCAATGAGGAAAAAACAATTACGATTACGTGGAGAAGGTCAGAGAACTCTCTCCCATGCGTACCAATTGAAAGAGGACGACATCACGTAATAGTCAAGTGGGGCGACATGATAATAATCGGAGTTTACCTATCTCCTAACATCGAAACTTCAGAAGTAGAAAGAGCAATGGAAGAAGTAGAAAGATGTGTTCTATTTCATCATAATAAACCCATTATTATGGGAGGAGACTTCAACGCTAAGACTGAAATGTGGGAATCCCCAGTGACAAATCCAAGAGGGATATTCCTTACAAACTGGGTAAGTAATATGGGGCTGATATGCCTCAATTCTGGTGAACGAAGTACATGTGTCCGCAGTACCGGTGAGTCTATCGTAGACATCACATTTGCAAATCGCCCAGCCGCGGCTAGAGTAATAAATTGGGAAGTATCTATGATGGAAAGCGCCTCGGACCACAGATACATAGAGATCATTATTGGCAAAACGAGTTCACAGACCAGAAAGGAACTGATACCCAGACCTAAGAGATGGTCTTTGAAGAAACTAGACGAAGACTTACTCAGAGCTGCAATATTAGCCGGATCGTGGGGCAAGGGTGATATCGCACAACAACAGGATGTGGAAATGAAGGCGATCAAATTACAAAGAATCGTCACGGAGGCATGCGACACTGCCATGCCCAGATCAACACCAAGGTCACGTAGAGCCATGCCATGTTGGAGCGAAGATCTCGCGTTATTACGAGACGCCTCCACAAGAGCTAGGAGGAAAATGAAAAGGGCTCGCAGACATGAAAACCCGGAAGACCTGGCTGAAGCGGAACAGAGAATCAATGAGTATAAGGAAACTAAAAAAAATTTTAGTAGAGCTCTAAGAAAAGCCAAATTCAGTTCAATCAGAAAAAGTTCTGTCACATGTGCGTAAGACCTACGATCACCCCATCCTCGCATCATTAAAAGGGATATACACTCCTGTTCGCGCGTTCTTGTTTATCGACTGAATGTATTGCTTAATTTGCCGCGCTCTTCTCCCGGCGCTTTCGTTAGAAGTACGAAGGGTCACGGCGGCGCTACCTACGAAGAGGAGAGGTTATTATATACGTTTTCTGGTAATGGCGGATATAATTCCGTTATAATTCCGTTCCTCTACTTCTTGTAATAAAGGTGTCAGTTCATTTAATCCGTAGCAATCATTATTCCACGATATCCAGCGGTGGCGAAACACTCCTCCTGTTCAGTAAGCATTATAAAGTATTTTAAATATTATAAATACTTTATAAACAAAAATAACTATGTGGCGATAAGCAATTTCAGAACGGAGTATCACGAAAAAGTATACCTTCTCAATCGCAGGTCACTGAAAGAGTGAAATTGACAGGAGAGATCTCTAGCTTATGTAGTCTCCAGCTTTGTTGAAAGGGTGGGCAGGAGGGAGAGGGGATGGAAAGGAGTAGGAAGAAAGGGGGGAAGGAGAAGAAAAGGGTAGGAGGGAGGAGAAGATAGAGATACAGACATTCGCGGGCACATACATGACTCATAAATTCAATCGGGCAATCTCTACGTAATACCTTAGATAATGCTAATGCCGGCGGTTCCGTAACTTTCAACTCTCATAATTTGAAAAATACTGATTAAACAGAGGCTTTATTATAGTGTTTTGGAAAGCTCCCGACCTCAGCTATTACATTCTAAAATCAAAAATAGGATGTTTCGTTTAAAAAAAATCGATTTGACCTTGACTTGACCTTGGTGGCACCATCCAAGATTAAATTGATAAGGTCAGTCAATAGACCATTTTCAATCCTACAACTGTATAAAACATTTTTCTCAAAAATGATTACTTTTCAAGATATTTAAGGGGTCCTGGATTTTTTCTACACCCTGTATATATACTACCTTGATCAAAAAGTTCCCGGCATTACCACCAGGTGATGCTCTGAGTCAGCTGATTTGAGTTCTGTTTTTTTGGTTAGGTTGCCAATCTATCATTGACATTTCCAACAAATTTTATCGTCATAGCTTGACATTTGTAAAAGTTACGCCATCTT